GTGTGTGTGTGTGTGTTTGTGTCNGTGTGTGTGTGTGTTTGTGTGTTTATCACTAAATATAATAATTGTCCATTTTACTTATTAACTTTTTAGCAAGTGACTCAACACGACGAGGCTGCTAGTAATTCATATTTTTTAGTAATTTGTGTCACAATTGCCTTACTTTGTTTCGACAGAATAACCATCTTCAAGGCCTAGAATAAAAAATTATAAAAGAATTAATAAAACCAGTTAATTATGAAGATACGAACATGTAAACATAAAATTATAAAACATAATTTGGTCTGTGAACATGAATGCCACATGTCTATTACCAGAATAGCATTGAATTCAAGCACAACGATCCTCGATTCAGAATTACATCCTGGTCGAGCCAAAATTTTTAAAGTCCAATTATAAACCGAAATTAAATTAACAATTCAACGTTTTGATTACATCTTCCAACAATTCTCCCAATACAGTGATCCGACGCGAGAGTCACCATTGAAAGTCACCTACTGCATCTTCTGGTACCGCAGCGATACGAATATTGTTCGACATCTGGTAGCTTCCAACCTATCAATGAACAACTTTTAATGTCACTAGCTAAATTATTTAATACAAATACAATCGTCAACATTTTCACCACACCTTCTTTAGCCTTACACACCAACTTTTGTTTGAGCATTTTGTACTTAAAAACGGGGTTTCACTGTCTAAAAACTGAGTTTCTTAGAGAAAAGAAAGATAGTTGAATTAATTAGGCAATTTTCTTCTTCTTTGTTGGTGTCGCTTTATTCTTCATTGTGATAGGAGTTAGTATTGGTAATGATGTAATCATTCTTTGTTGGATGTTTACTTGGGGTTTATTGATGCCTGTTAGAACAGCTTCTTTATTATTGCATTTTGCATTATCCCACATTATTCTTATTTTTTCTTTACAACCTTGGAAAAAAGTTTTTTCTTTTTAGATTTCTTCTAAAATGTGTCACGCAAATATTACGTGAAGCAAGTTTGAGTTTTGATGACAATTTTTCGGTATCGATTTTTGGCGGCGACCACAAGTTGGAATTCAATAGGATTTATGCTAAAGCGGTCGTTCCCAGGGGTGCATCTTAGGTATCTGTATTTGCGAATACATATAAATAAATATAAATAAAAAGCATACACAAGCGGGCAAAACAGAACAAGTCTACACAACACACTGATCCGGGAGAACTGATTCTCAAAACTCACGTCTATCCCTACGTAGCTACGATGAGACACCCGTAAACTGAACTTGTGGGCAATCAACCAGGTGCACATAAATATGCTTTTATATCAGACACGTGTGTGTACATTTATATTGTACATCGTTGCATTCATTCTTAATTTATGTATATATATATATATATATATATATATATATATATATATATATATATATATATATATAGTGTCAGAATTATGAAATAATGCTGACTAAAAATACTGCAAAATTTTCAACGCGAAATTTATTCACTCGATAGGGGGCATGGTGCAAGTTAATTTACTCGATAGGTGATGACGATTTTCTTTGTTTTGCAATTTAGATGACGTCATAAATTATTACAAATTATTTTAAAATTTAATTAATACTTTTTCTGATTAATTGGACATGCCTTGTAAATTTTTATATTTTAAAACACCCGAAACAAAATCTAATTTTGCCTTGATAAGGAAGGGTGTGAAAAAACAAAGAGACTGGGTTGACTAGTGAGGCAGCTTCGAATAATCAGTGCCTCTTCTGGTCCCTAAGAGACTTAACGCGTGATTCTATGCTCATTGACATAGTTCAGAAACGTCTTAAGTTCTCAAAAGTGGATTTGGTACGAGACTCTATGCTAATTGGCATAGTTTCGCACGCGTACTAGAGTCACACAATTTGTT